TTAGGGGTTCAGCCCAAAGCCCATACTCCCACCCTCTGCCTCAGCCTGGAGCCCCCTCCCATACTCCAAACGCCTTTGCTCCACCACCCCAGCCCGGAGCACCCTCCTACACCCCTCATCCCCAGCCCCACCCCAGAGTCTGCACCCCCCACCAGAGCCCTCGTCCCCCTCCCGCACCCCAACCACCTGCCCCAGCCTAGAGTTCCCTCCCACTCTCCAAACCCCTCAGCCCCAGCCTGGAGCCCCCTCCTGCATCCCAAATCCCTCATCCCTGGCCCCACCCCAGAGCATGCAACCCCAGCTGGAGCCCTCACCCCCTCCTGCATCCCAACACACTGCCTCAGCCCAGAGTCCCCATTTGCACCCTGGACTCCTCATTTTGGGCCCACCCCAAAGCCTGCACTCCCAGCCTGAACCCTCACCCCCTCCCACATCCCAACCCCTTGAGCCAGCCCATTGAAAATGAGCGAGTAAGTGAGGGTGGGGAGAGCAAGTGACAGAGGGAGGCGGGATGGAGTGAGTGGGGGTGGGGCCTCTGAGGTGGGCAGGGCATGGGCGGGGCAAGGGTGTTCGGTTTTGTGCGAGTAGAAAGTTGGCAACCCTAGTGGTGGGCTGCACCGCAGCTCCCCACAGCTGCCCGCACAGCTCTTACCATGTCCAGGCTGCGACTCCGAGCCCCCCGCACGCTGGAGCTGGGTCGGGGAGAGCCACTTGGGCAGCTGTGGTGAGCCAGCGTGGAATCGTGGACCCTCCACTGGCTTTGGGCTGTGCTGGGAGCTTGGGGGTGGGGACATGGGCTGGGGGCTGCCCTCAGCCCCCCTGCACCGAAGGCGGGTGGAGGGTCAACACATGCATCTCCCACAATTGGCTGGGCTCCCTGGCTGGGCTCCATGCTGGCCTGGCCCGGGGGAAGAGGAGGGGAAGGATCCGCCCTGGCGAAATGTGGGAGGGCCATGGGCCCCTGCCCTCCCCGTTCCGGCACCACTCCCTGGGTGCCTATGGCTACCTTCTGCCTCCTCCCCTGTTATTTTCCAGTCACTGCTACAGG